ACGTCAGCCTCCTCCGCCCATATGTTCCGTCAACGAGTTAATTGTCTTGCAGCCGCCCATCCAGCGTGACACGACCACCGACAGAGCTTGTCATCACACTTGAAAAAATACTGAGCCACCCAGTTCGTGACCAATGTGGAGCCTGCAGGATCGAGTTCTTGATTCGCTGGAAGGGACTGCACGCCCACTGAAGACAACTGGGTGCCCTTGGATGAAATCGACAACCACCCCGTCCTCGCCGGGTATTTGCGCGGCCGCAATTTCCGAGATGTACACGCACTCTCGTAAGGAGGTCCTCCTTGGGGGAGGGGGGTAGTGTAAGGAAAAGGAAAATTCCTTACTTCGCGCCCCTGCTTACCACGTACATGCCTGTTCCCGCCAATAGTACCCAACTGTGCACCGTTACCACTCGCGACACTCGCCTCGACCACTATTCTTGCCACTGTTCGCATCACGACCCAGCCTCACGATTCGGTTGGTAACCCGCACTCCGGTCCTCCGCCTCGACAATTCCCAACCTCGGCGCTAGGCCCGTAGCGCACCCCATTTTCGCGCATTACCGTTACCACGCTAGTTCTCGATATAACATTCGCTCATTCCTTCGCTATATAAGGACAACATTTATTTTCGCTCATTCCTTTGCTATATAGGTTCTCTTTTTTGTCTATTGTTGGTTCCGTTTATGGAGCGGTTGGGATATATCTTCTTGCTCAGTGAGCATTCTTCAGCTTTTTTGTCACAAAGACGATAGGCCCCAACGGGATCAATCATGCGTTCAGAACGCGTTGCAGTGATTGCGTTCCGCCTCGTGCCGTTTCATTTCAACTATTCTCATGCTCGATCATCTTCTCGCCAGATGCGGCGCTCCTCACTTACGCCATCGCGTCTGCATCGCTTTTCGGGCCAATCCTCCCACGCAGCGGCAACGGCATTCCTCTGGCTTTAACGGCTAAGATGGCCAGCCCCTAAATGTGGGGAAGGAAAACATTTAGTAAATGTCTGTTTGATTTTGCCATGCTGAAAAGACAATATCTTCTAAATTTTACACATTATGCAGCTCCGCTTTTGTCCAAGCCTTAGCGAATGGTACTTGAGAGGAGTTCGTGAATCATTTCGAAAGTATTTACAATTGTCAAGGTTCGCATTTTGTCAAATCATGTCAGTGTATTGTTTTTCTATCATGGCTGTCGAAGCACATAGCTCAAGCTATGTGCTTCTTCTCACCTTTCCCTCCCCCCTGCACCCATTTATTGAAATTCGTGGTCAAGTTGCGTCCAACTCGGATCAATGGAAAGCTAGTGGGAGACAGAGGTGCATCCGGAATGTTCATCATGAAGACTGTGAGGTACGTCTCCATGCGATTCGACTTGTTGAATACATAATATGTATATGTGTTTATATTAACTGCCTTAGCATGTAGTTTAGTGTAGACACATTGGTGGTGCACCTCATTCTCTTGTCTCTTGCACTATATCTTGTATCTTTGCTCATTAGTGAATCCCCCTTCCTCTTCTCGCTACTCTCATGCCTGGTTCACCCTAGGCTCCTAAACCTACTAAGCTAACCTAGCATTTTAACATGCTATCACAGCAGGCCTAATCCTAGGCCATTTTATCATTGGGCCCACCGCTAGCTTCCGCTAAATGCGCCTCTTTGCTGCCCGTCGCGCGCCCCGGGCGCGCGTCGATTTTCTGCCCGTCGCGCTCCACTGGCGTGCGTCAATTTCGTGCCCGTCGTGCGCCCCAAGCGCGCGACGGTTTCCTGCCCGTCGCGCGCGTCGGTTTCTGCCCGTCGCGCACCTTGGACGCGCAACGGTTTCTGCCCGCCCGTGCACCCTGCTGTCGCCCGCGCAGCTCCTACCCCCCCCCCCCCCCCCCGCCCCCCCTTCTCCTCCATCTCCCTGCTGCGTGTGCAGCAGTTGGGGGGAGGGTTTGGGGGTGGCGGGTGTGAGTAACCAGCTGCCGCCCCTCCTCCTCTCTCTCTCACTGCCGCACATGCCGCTGTGGGGGGGGAGGGTGTGGGGGAGACGAGGTAGTGACAGTAGGGATGCCGCGCCTGTTGGTGTGGGAGGGGGTTTGGAGAAATGGGGGGAGTTTGAAGGGGGGTGGCCGCCGTGAAGCCAGCAGCTCCAGTCGCCCATGAGCCCGTTGCTCCAGTCGCCCGTGAGTCAGTTGCTCCAGCCGCTCGTTATTATTGGGCAATTAGCCAGTTACTCCAGTTGCCCGTGTGCCAGTTGCTCCAATTGCCCGTGTGCCAGCAGCTTCAGCCGCCGCCCACCACCTCCTCTCTTCTCTTGGTCCCTCTCCTACTTCCGCTGCGCCTGGTGTTCCCCCTATGGGGGTGTAACTTCACAAGCTCATGCTGTAGGCAGTTAAGGGGGTGTGTTGAATAAATATTATATATATGCGTTTATATTAACTGCCTTAGCATGTAGTTTAGTGTAGACGCATTGGTGGTGCACCTCATTCTCTGGTCCCTTGCACTATATCTTGTATCTTTGCTCATTAGTGAATCCCCCTTTCTCTTCTCGCTACTCTCATGCCTGGTTCACCCTAGGCTCCTAAGCCTACTAATTTAACCTAGAATTTTGACACGACTGGTGCTAGTATTGAGTGTCGCAATCTCAGGTTTGAGCTGGTGATCACGGGTTTGTGAACGGCGCTCATCATGCTCTAACCCCATATCTCCTACCGCGACGGTTCTTACCATGTCCTGTTTCACAGGTTCACTACATCAAATGCCCACGTCATTTATTCTGGACGAATCCGCATCATCAAGTTGCACGGAGCGCCACCCAAAGTGGGCGGATGAGATTCTTGTGTGTCTAATGTACTTCCCCAAGATATTTCTCCTTATCCCAATTTCACCACTGCCAAGGCTGGTCAGCAAAAGCGCTACAGTTTCAGAGTACTTGTATTACTAGGATCAGGAACTGTGACTCAAATTCGTGCCATCATGGCGGCGACTCGTGCTGTTGGGACACACATGACAATGGGGCATCAATACAACCCGATGGCACTTTGTGGGAGGTGGAACTTTATGGGTAAATAAGTGGCTCTTTTCATAAGATTGTTTGCTGACCCTGGGTGGCATGCCTGTGTGAGCATCGTGGAAGAGCTACCGGTACATTTCACTCGTGCCTAGCACAATTATTTGCACTATACTGCAGTTCTGTTAGTTAGCTCCATTGCACTCGTAACACGAACTCAATATGGTAAGGTGGTATTCTCTTAGCGTGGTATAAAATATTCGTTATAAGCACCTCCTCCACGTCAGCCCTCGCGCGTTCAAATCCATGCTGGTTATGACGTCGTCCGCGGGCATTCCTGCGCGCTCCCGTGTTCTCTCCCCCTCATCCACTTCCCCCTTCTCGCCCATCACGATTCACAAGCAAACCTTGCCTGCCGCCTCCGCTTCCCGCCATAATTTCCCCTCGCGTGCTTCATGCCGCCGTTCACTCACTCACACATTCCCCTCCGCGCGCGGGGAGAGAAGGCAGCGCATGCCTTTTATTTTCCCGCGCGGAGGGTGGGTGGTGGGGGAAAGGGGGTGGAGAAACGGAGGTTATGGGGAAGGGGGATGTTCTCCTCCCCTCCAGCTCGTGGCGACCTCCTCGCCTCACTTGCTCGCTTGCTTCGTCAGTTCCTCAAGCAAAGTTTATTGACACCAGCTCGTGCCGCTCTGAACCGCACAGCACATTACTGCATGCTAGTTGGTGTGTGAAATGAGGGGATGTGCGTGGATGGGTGGGTGAAGCACATGAGATGAAGTGAGAGCTGAACAGCAAACGTGCCGTGACAGGCAACACGAATCAGCAGGAAGTGGTTTGATAGGCTTGGAGGCGAGTCGAGAGACGAAACTCGCGATTTGGAACTCAAACGGTGGCGGTTGATAATTGCGGAGCGAGGTGAGAGAGAGCCAGAGGCGAGAGAGCGAAAGCAAGAGGGAGTTACGTGCGGGATGCAGGTACTCGCCACGCCGCGCGTCCCACATTCGCGTCGCAGCCCGCACTGCCGATCGTGGAGTGTCGTGCGCTTGCGCGCTTGCTGATTGTTCAGATTCGCGGAATCGCCAGAAACTACCGAAAGCGCACTGGAAGTGGCCGCGAACCAGTGCGAGCTGGTAACTTGTCTCCACTTCGCCATTCGCCATTTCCTCACTTCGCCAGTCGCGAATCTCGCGCGATCCGTGGCTCCGTCCTCTCATCTCGGTCGTCGTCGTCTTCACTGCCGCTGGTAGCGTGAATCCCGCTCGTTCACGCCACGCCTCTCGCCGCTGCCGTTCGAATCTGCTCCGAGAAGCCGTCGTGATATGCTGTTTCACTCAGGCCCTGTGAGAAAATTCGCTCACGAGGCAAGCAGTCCGCAGGAGGAGGAATCGCCGACGAGCGAGATTTGCGACGTGTCGCAAGCAGACGAGACCGCGTCAGTGAAGCTGCTCGATCGCTCAGCGGGGAACCTTCATCCGCACCTTCCTCTCTTCCCCTCTCTCTCACACGCGCACACACACTTTCTCTCACTCGCTTCTACCCTCACTTTCTCACACTCACTCCTGCTCGTACGCGCACTCATTGCCTCACGCCCTCCCTTGTACTTCTTCACACCGCTCTCCATCTCTCCCCACCGCTCGATGCAACTCCACACTGCCTCATGGCCGTGGATCCTCCCGCCACGTGTCCGCATCTCCTTGCTTTCAAGCGCCGCGCGCCGTCCGCCGCCAGCCCGTATCTCCTCGTGCAGCAGTGCGTGCGACCCGGGCCCAATCGCCGCCCCGTCTTCTCCGTGACTCGCGGAACCGTTCCGTGCTGCTCCATCTGCCGCCGCACCGACGCGCGTCTTTACGTGTGCCTCACCTGCGGCGCCGTCCTTTGCCGGCCAGCCGCCGCCGCCGCCACTGCCGAAGCGCCGCGCGGAGGCAGCGCTGCCGGCCGGCAGGGCGATGCCGCCGTCTCCGCCGCCGTCGCGCCTCGCACGCGATCCGCGCCAGGTGCTGCGGGAGCTATGCCCGTAAGCCTCGCGTCGACGGGCGGACAGGATTGCGGGGTAGGCGGAGGGTTCGCGGTCGGGTTACGCGGCGCGCACTCCAGCGCTCGCGCCAACGCGGGGGAGATTAAGGACGATCAGGAGAGCGGAATCGCGGACGGGGGGTGCAACGAGACGGCCAGATCTAGCGAGAGCAGCGGCGACGGCGGGGGCGGCGGTGGCGGCGGAAGCAGCGGGGGGGACGATGATGCGGGCGGACACGTGCTGAAGCACGCGAGAGAAGCCCCGCCGATGGCCGACGGGCGGAGATCCATTGGCGCGCGCGGAAGCAGCGGCGGGTGGGGCGGCGCGGGCGCGCGCGCGTCGTCGTCCCCCGGCGGGCCAGGGGGAAGCGGAAACATCGGCGGGAGTTCAAGGCGCGGGGGCTCTGGCGCAGGGGGGGCAGGCGGAGGGGGAGGCGGAGGGGGAGGCACGGGGCCGGGAGCGGAGTGGGGGGGAGCGAGTCACTGTATATTTGTGGAGCTGGATCGAGTGGTGCTATACTGTGCTGCATGCGGGGAGTATGTGGTAGATGGTGACTTTAACACATGTGTGATTAATGCGGTGGGGGGTATGGGTGGCGTGGAAGGGCCAACTCTTGCTTGCCTCCCTGCTGCTGCAGCTCCAGGAGAAGCAGCAGAAACCACAGGAGCAGCGGCAGCAGCAAGAGCAAGCGAAGTGGGAACGGGGGAGGGGAGGGGAGGAGGCGCTATTATGCAGGTTGCGTGGACAGCACCTGAGGAGGGGATGATGGGGAAGAAGAAGGGAGCGCGCAAGGAGGGAGTGATAAAAGGGGGCATACTGAAAGAAGGGGTATTGACAATGGCTGCGATGCCATCAATGGGCTTGGGGGGAAGAACCACCCGGTTGCTACTTCCAGCTGGGCCTCAGGGCTCAGGTGAAGACCTGTGTGGGTATTCACCTGAGAATTCACCTGAGATTGACGCAGAGTCGGATGGGAGAGCAGTGCAGTTGCAGCGGGCGGATGGCACGGCTGTGAGTGTGAGTGGGAGTGAGCGAGGCAGCAGTTTCGCCGGTAGTGACAGCGCTGGCATGACCAGTGCTGGTGCTGATGCTCATGCTCATGCTGATGATGATGCTGATGTTGATGCTACTGCTGGTGCGGGTGGTGACTTTCCTCCTGCTCCTGAGAATAATAACCCAGGGGGTGGGGGCTTCGGTGCAGCTGTGGTTCGGATGGAGGAGGGCAGGGGCGAGGGGGCGGAGGGGGATGGGGATGAGGTGAGGGAAGAGAGGGAGGAAGAGGGGCAGGAGGGGGGAGAGGAGGGGGAGGAGGAGGAGGGTAAGGAGCAAGCGGAGGAGGAATTGGAGGAGGATGAGGAGGGGTTGCAGGGTGATGCTGAGTGGAATGGTGGTGATAGGGGTGCCGTAGGAGGAGGAGGAGGAGGAGGAGGAGGAGAAGGAGGAGGAGGAGGGGTAAATGGAAGGGAGGCTCTGCTGGGGGAGGGGAAGAGCAAGAAAGTGAGAGAAAGGGGAGGTGATGGGAAGAAAAGGGGACGGGGCAGTGGGTGGACCGGAGGAGGGGCAGGAGCACAGTCATTGACAGCAGCAGCAGCAGCAAATACAGCAACAGCAGCAGAAGCAACAGCAGCAGCAGCAGCAGCAGCAGCAGCAGCAGCAGATACAGCAACAGCAGCAGCACCAACAGGTGCAGCAGCAACATCAGCAAGCCCTTGTGCCGCATGGGAAGGGAAGGTGGGTACAGGTGTGAATCAGGAGGCGAGGGTAGGGAAAGGCAAGAAGGAGCAGAAAGAGAGGGCGGAGAAGGGGAAGCAGCAGCAGCAGCAGCAGCAGCAGGCGCAGCAGAATGTGCGGCCACCTTCACCCAGAATCACTCGCGCTGCTGCCAGGCAGTTGCAGCAAGAGCAGCAGCAGCAGCAGCAGCAGGGCGCAGTGGAAGAGAAGAGGGAGCAGCAGCAGCAGCAGCAGCAGCAGCAGCAGCAGCAGGGGAAGGAATCCCTGGGGGGGCAGTGGTTGGGAGGGGAAGTGGGTGGGGAGATAGGGGAGGCGTGGGAAGTGGAGGGACAAGACGAGGAGACTGGGGTGCAGGGACGAGAAGGGAGAGCGGTCAAGGGAAGTAGAGGAGAAGCCAGTAGTAAGGGGAAGGGGAGGAGGAAGGAGCGAGTGAGGGAGAGAGTGAGGGAGAAGGGACGGTTGGATGCAGCAGAGGTAGATGTAGGTGCAGTGAGGGGGGAAGGTGAGGATGATGCGATAGCAGGAGCCAGAATGACAGGTGGTTTCCAGGAAGGTGTGGCTGCTGTGCCTCCTCTTCCTCCTCTTCTTGCCGCCGCTGTGAAGAGGCCGAGGTATGTGGTAACCAGGGAGGGGGGCCACGTGGGACTCGAGGGCGCGAGAGAGAGAGTGAGGGCGGGGGAAGAGACAGTGTCCACATTAGAGGACGAATTTGTGGGTTTCAGTGTGCCCAGTAGTATTAGGGCAGCAGGAGAAGGGATACGAGTGGGAGTGGGACAGGAGGTGGTGTATGGGAGAGGAGGGAAACGAGGAGGAGGAGGGGGGTCAGGTGTGGAGGAGGGTGGTGTGGTGGGTAGGAGTGTGAGCACTCGTGGGCGGAGGAGCAGAGCTGCTGTGGTGACCCCGGCAGATGCGGGTGCTGCAGCGACAGCAACTGATGCAGCAGCAGTGACGGCAGGAGGAGCAGGAGCAGGAGCAGCAGCAGGAGCAGGAGCAGGAGCAGCAAGAGCAGCAGCAGGTGCAGGAAGGGGAAGGGGATGGAACTTCAAGAGGGCTGTTATAGCGCAGTTACGTGGGGAAGCTGATGGCCTGGGGAAATTGGGTGGTGTGAGTAGGGGAAGGGATACAGAGGACCAAGCGGAAGTGGAGGCGGAAGAGGAGGATGAGGAGGAGGAAGAAGAAGAGGAGGAAGCGGAAGAGGGAGAGAATTTTGACAAGAGGGGGGTGAGGTTCCAAGAAGCAGCAGGACGAGGGAGGAAGAGGAAGAGGGAGAAGGGGAAGAAGAAGAAGAAGAAGAAGAAGAAGAAGAAAGGGCAGAGGGATGACGGGGAAGGTACTGTGCAACAAAGACGCCGCTCTGTAGACGTTAGTGGATTGCACAGTAAAGGGTACAGCATTGGCGGAAAGAGAGCCGCAGCAGCAGCAGTAGCAGAAGCAGAAAATGGGAATATTAAAGGCCACAGCGAAGGGCACAGCAGAGGACATGTAAATGGTCGTTCCCTTGCTCCGGATGCTTCTGCTCCTCTTTCCTTTCCTCCTTCTCTTCCTCTTTCTCGTGATGGTTTGGGTGTAAAGCAGCAGGGAGTGGTGGGGGGCGGAGGGGGAGGGGAGGAGGGGCAAGAAGGCCTGGCGGAGGAAACGTTACAGAAGGGGATGAGCGAGGCAGGGGCGGCAGGGAGGGAGGTGAGGAGGAGACAGAGGAGAGTAGTGGTGAGCGGGCAGCAGGAAGGGGAGGTAGGTGCATGGGTGGAGGGGTGTGCAGGTGGGGCCCGTAAGGGGAGGGTGAGTGAGGGGAGGGTGAGTGAGGGGAGGGTGAGTGAGGGAATGGTGAGTGAGGGGATGTATTTTAGTGGCAGCAATGGTGCTGTAGCGGCGAGAGGAGGGGGTGCAAGAAGGATGAGCAAGGGAAGGCGAGCAGCAGGGGAACGAGACGTGAAAGGAGGTGTGGAGGAGAGCGATGCAAGGGAAGGTGTAGAGGGAGGTGTGGAGGGGGAGAGTGCGAAAATCCCCAAGGGGGAAAGTGAGGGAGTGGTGTGGGGCGAGAGTGGGGAAGGGTATGTGGGTGCGAGTGTGGGTGTGGCAGAGAGAGGCGTTGTAGAAACACGGGAGGTGCACGGGAGGAGAGAGGGGAAGGGCAAGGGCAAGGGAAGCAGGCGGAGGAGTGAGAATGGGAGGGCGAGCAGGGAGGGGCGGGAGGGACAGGAAGGGCGGGAGGGGCGGGAAGGGCGGGGTCTTAGCACAGGGGAGTTAGAGGTTGGGGGAGGGAGGGTGGGCGGGAGTGTTCTTGCCACGCCTCTAAGATTGGGAAGTGAAGAGGATAAGGCTGCGGTTATTGCAGCGGTGGTGGCGGGGGGAGTGGAAGAGGAGGTGAAAGGGGAAGTGGAAAGGGGTAGGGGAGGGATAAGAGAGGGAGGAAGGGGAGATGTTGGGGAGGCGTATTTTGAGCGTCCTAAGAAGGTGCGTATAATACGAGGGGAGTTGAATAGGGTGGTTGGGAGGGGAGGGGGCGAGAGTGAGGTTGGGGTTTCTGTGGCAAGGTGTGCAGAGGAGGGGGCTGTAGGAGGAACGGAGAGACGGGAGGAGGGAGAGTGGGGAGGCGGAGTAGAGGGGTTGGAGGGAGAAGAGCGAGGAGAGGGAGGAGAGAGAGGGGAGGGAGGAGAAGGAGAGGGCATGGATGGGGAAGGACTGGAGGGAAGGACGGAGCAAGGGACAAAGAGAGGGGATGAGAAAAGTGTGGAGGGCAGGGGGAAGGGAAGGGAGAGGAGTAAGGACAGGGCAGAGAAGACTGAGAAGGGAGAGAGGGAGGAGAAGGCGGAAAGAGAGGCATCAGATTGGCACGGAGGGGTAGCAGCCAGGGAGAAGCAGGCCTTGGCCGAGGCAGCAGCAGGGGGAGTAGCAGGAGCAGGAACAGGAACAGCAGGAACAGCAGGAGCAGAAGCAGGAGGAGCAGGAGCGGGAAGAGGAGGGAGAGGGAGAGGCAGAGATGGGCTGCCGTGTGGGTTGAGGGGTCTGAACAACCTGGGCAACACGTGCTTCATGAACGCCATTCTGCAGGCCCTCGTGCACACCCCGCCCCTGCGCTCCCACTTCCTCTCCCACTTCCACTCGCACTCGCACAGCCACTCGCACGGGCAAAGCCAGGAGCAATCACTGGGCCAATCCCTGCCCAAGCCCCTTATCCACAGCCAACCCGAAGACAAATCACAAGCCCATGCTCATACCCATGATCATGATCATGCTCATGTGCATGCACATGAGCATGGCCAGGCCCAGGGGCACATGACTCCTCCCCTCTCCTGCAACCACAATCACAACCCCGACAATGACCCCCACCACAGGCCCAGCCGTGGCTCCCCGGATCCCCGCGGACTTGATGCACGCGCCCCTGTCGGCCAGCAGCAGTCGTTTCACAGCGACTCACATGGTGCCAATGCCACGCACACCACCAGCAACAACACCAGCAGTGCTGCTGCTGCTGCTGCTGCTGCACCCTCGCACGCAGCACCCCGCCCGTCCCTCAACCCCATGGCGCCTCACACAATGCCCACGGCCCACATGTCCCATGCGGGCCTTAAAGGTGATACGGTTTGCATTCCCCCCACTGCCCAGGGTTTGTGGCGTGTGGGCGAACAGGGGGCGGGAGGGGCGGAAAGGCGACTGGGAGGGGGGAAATTGTGGGGAAAGGGAATGGGGGGAGGGCCAAAGGGGGAGGAGGAGAGAGGGGGAAGTGGAGAGGGTGGGTTTGATGGTGGGAATGGTGGAGAGGACGAGGAGAGGAAGGATGAGGAGGAGGTGGGGAGGGATGGGCAGGGGGATGGGCTTCGTGCAAGGGTGGAGGAGGGAGGGGGGATAGTGGGAGGGGAAGGAGAAAGAGTCGGGGGAGGAGAGGCAGGAGGAGGTGCGGTGGCAGCAGCAGAAGCACCGGCAGCAGCAACAGCAGCAGCAGCAGGGGGGGTAGCAGCAGCAGTAGGGCGAGTGCGAGTGGCACCGTATGTGAATCCGTGTTTGGAGTGCGAGTTGGAGGGTGTGTTTGCAGCCATGTTCAGTGGCGAGAGGAGGCCGTTCAGCCCCGGCCAGTTCCTCTATAGGTGCGTGGGGATGTGCGTGGGGGGTGCGTGGGGGGGTGCGTGGGGATGTGCGTGGGATGCATGTGCGTGTGTGCATGTGTGTATGTGCACGATCGTATGTGCATGTGTGCGTCAACTCCACACAACCCCCGACCCGTCAATCTCTCCCCGTGTCAACCGTCCCCACCGCACCCCCTTGGCTTCCCCATCCCATGGCCAGCTGGTACCTACCTGACCTAACCTCATTTTCCTCTTCAGCTGCTGGCGTGTCACAGACAGCGTTGCCAGCTAGCTAGCTACCAGCAGCAGCAGACTACACCCCCTTCATGCGTTCTTAACCATTCCCCCCTCCTCCCCCCTCCATCCCTCGCTTCCCCATTCAGCTGGTGGCGAGTGACAGACAGCTTTGCGAGCTACCAGCAGCAAAACGGCTCATGAGTTTTTCATCGCAACCCTCAACGCTCGCTCTCCATGTGTCCCTCTCTTTGGCTTCCCCCTTCTCTTTCTCACTTCCCCATCTGCAGCTGGTGGCGTGTCACGGACAGCTTTGCGAGCTACCAGCAGCAGGACGCGCACGAGTTCTTCATCGCAACCCTCAACGCTCTCCATGCTGCCTCCGGCCTCGCCTCGCCCCGCCGCAAACCCGCCCCTCCTGTTGCTGCTGGTGCTGCTGGTGCTTCTGCTGCGTGGTAAGTAGAATGAGTGCGGGAGTGACTGTTCTGCTGCTACGTGTTGCTCCCTTCCATCTCCTGCTTGCATGCTTTTAATGAACCACCCTGCCTTCTCATCTCCCTCCCTCCACCCCTTCTCCCGCCCGCCCGCCTGCTTCCCCACCCACCCTTTTTTCCGCCCCTTCCCAGCCCGCCATCTGTCACCGAGTGCCCCTGTATCGTGCACGAGGTGTTTCCTCATCTACCTCTCCCTCTTCTCCCTGCCTCCCCCTTCCCCCACCCTCCTCCCCCTCCTGTGCAGCCCGCCATCAGTCACCGAGTGCCCCTGTATCGTGCACGAGGTGTTTTCCGGGCTGTTGCGATCAGATGTGACCTGTACAGCCTGTGGTTGCACCTCCACCACATACGACCCGTGTGTGGATATCTCTCTGGATCTAAGCCCTCACTTGCTCGCAGCAGAGTTGCACGAGGAGCAGCAGCAGCGGCAGCAGCAGCAGCAGCAGCGCCGGGAGTTGATGCTGCTGCGGCGGCAGCAGCGGCTGGAACAGGGGGTGGGAGGGGGGGTGGGGGAGGGGAAGAAGAGGCGGAAGCGGCAGCATAAGCAGAGGTACCAGCGAAAGAGGAAACGGGGACGGACTAGGAATGTTACGGGTGATAAAGATGCTGCTGTTGATGCTGCTGCTGCTGCTGCTGCTGCTGCTGATGATGATGATGATGATGCAACTGCTGCTGCTACTGCTGCAGACGGAGTGACAGAGGTACCCCCATCGCCATCACCACCATCATCATTACCACCAGCATCGCCATCAGCACCGGTGCTGTCACCATCCCCACCGATCGCCCTTTCGTCATCCACCCCAACACCTACTGTAACAGCAACACCCACACCCACCTCCACGCCAACCATCACTCCTTCCCCAACTGAAGCCGGCACCCCTGTTGGCTTCTTTGATGCTGATGCTGATGCTGATGCTGATGCTGCCACTGCTGCTGCTGGTGATATCATTGGTGATGGTGCTGCTGCTGCTGCTGCATTGGGAGAGGGAGGGCTGGGAGGCAGTGGCAGTGCGGAGGGGAGTGGCAACGGTGGCAGCAGAAGCAGCAGCAATAGCAGCAGCAGGGAGGGCGGACGACAAGCAGGACTGGAAGGGGGAGAGGCAAAGGAGGTGAGAAGAACAGGGGGTGACGGAGGGGATGGGGAGGAAGGAGACGAAGGAGAGGAAGGAGAGGAAGGGGAGGAAGGGGAGGATGGAGAGGAAGGAAATGCAAGAGAGGTGTTGCTGGGAGATGTGGTGGGGGAAGGAGTGGCCCTGGGGGAGGAAGAGGAGATGGAAGCGAATGGAGTGGCAGTGGCTGAAGCAACTGCAGGGGCAGAAGGTGAAGATAACGTTGCAGTGCAGACTGATATGGGGTCAGCCATGCGAGGGCAAGAAGGGGGTGGGATGCACTGCTGTGCTCTCCTGCATGACCCTGCTGCTGCTGCACCTGAGGTTGCTGGGCTTGACAGCAGAGCAGCAGAGGGTGTGGGAGCAGAGGCTGTGGCAGCAGATGGAGCAGCAGTAGCGGGTGTGGCGAGGCGGGAGAATTTGGCAGGAGCAGCTGAACGGCGAGCAGAAGGGGAAGGAGCACCTGGGCCACGGAAAGCGTCAGGCACTGCTGCGCTACCACCATTAGCGCCTCCAGCAGCAGCAGCAGCAGGAAGAGCAGCAACAGGAGCAGGAGCAGCGGGAGCAGCAGCAGCAGGGGGAGCAGCAGCAAAGGAGGAGGGAGCGGTGGCGACGTTGATAGCATGTTTGGATCGGTTCACACACCCGGAGACGCTTGGAGTCAATGAGAAGTTCTTCTGTGAGGCCTGCCAGGTGAGCCCACGCACGTGGGGCAAGGCAAGGTGATGCATGGCAAGGTGATGACAGGTGTAAGATGTTCCTGCACATCAAACCACTCTTCACATACATGTCTCTAAAGTCTTCACATGGATCCGATTCTCCCCCCCCCCTACTCACCTCCGGCCCCTCCCCTCCCCTCCTTCCCAACCCCCTCCACGCCTTCACCCGTCCCCATCAGATTGGTGAAACAGATGTCTCTCGTGCACCTGCCTCTCGTGCCCTGCCTGCTTATCAAGCCACCCTTCACATAGCTCAAATCCACTCTCACCCTACTCACCCCCGGCCCCTCCCTTCTCCTCTCCCTTCCCCCGTCCCCATCAGATACGGCAGGAGTCAGTGAAGTAGATGTCTCTCGCCCGCCTGCCCCTCGTGCTGTGTCTGCACATCAAGCCACTCTTTATTCTGCACAAATTCTCATTTCACCCCCCCTTCTCCCTCCCTGCACTTACCAGATACGGCAGGAGTCAGTGAAGCAGATGTCGCTGGCGCGCCTGCCCCTCGTGCTGTGTCTGCACATCAAGCGCTTTGAGCACTCGCTCTCGCGCAACGCCTCGCGCAAGATCACGCGCTTCCTGCACTTCCCCCTCGCGCTCGACATGTCCCCCTACCTCTCCTCCAGCATCACCCGCAACCGTGACCGCGACCGCGACCGCGACCGCGACCGCGACCGCACTGCCTCCCTGCACCCTACGCCCTCCCCTCCGCCCATTTCCCCTGCTGTCTCCTCTCCTCTGGTCCTCTCCCCCCCGGCAACTTCTCCGCTCGTCTCTCCTCTGCTCGCCACTCCTCCTGTTGCCTCACCTCCTTTCGCCTCTCCTCCTCCACCACCACTCCCACCAGCACCCCCTCCCAATGCTTCGTGCAAGCTGGCCAGTCCCTCTGAATTCACTTCTGAACCTCCTCCCGAACCTGCTTCCGCACCTGTTTCCGGGCCTGTTCCCGAACCTACTTCCGAAGCTGTTGTCAAACCTGCTCCCGGGGACTTGGAGAAAGGCGGTAGCAGCAGCAACACAAGCAACAGCAGGGAGGAGGCGCCTGGTGAGGCAGACTCAAATGCTGCTGCACACGCTGGTGCTGCTGCTGCTGCTGCTGCTGCTGCTGCTGCTGCTGCTGCTGAGGATGATGATGCTGAAGAAGATGATTTTGATGATCACCCAAAGATAGCAACACCCCCAACTCATGGTGTTTCCGCACCTCGCGGAAACAAGAATGGAGTTTCATGTGTGAAGGATAGTCGTTCAGTTGGTGGTAGTGGTGATGAGTCGCATGTTGCTGCTACCGCTACCACTGGTGCTGACATGCCTACAGCTCCCGCTCTTGCTTCTGCTGCTGCTGCCGCTGCCGCTGCCGCCGTTGCCGCCGCCCCTGGTGTTTCTCCTGCTGCTGCAGCCGCCATTGCTGCTGCTGCAGCAGCGGTAGCCGGTGCACAGGGGGCGGGAAAGGGATCCGATGAAGGCGAGAAGGGAGGGCAGCAGGATAAGCATGACGACGCGCAGTACGATGCGTTTGCTGTGATTGCGCACTCTGGAAGGAAGCTGGACAGTGGCCATTATGTGGCGTATCTGAGGCTTGGAGGCGGCTGGTTTCGGTGCGATGATTCGTGGGTCACTGCAGCTGATGAGAAGGATATACTTCATTCCGAGGCCTACATGCTTTTCTATTTGAAGAGAAAGGCTTCTTGATTGGATACGGCACTGTTGATGATGAGAGGTATCGTCGGTGCATTTTCGTGTTTCAGGTTGAAGTTGATGGGTTTTGTTTGGTTAGTTATATTCGAGAGGGAATTGTGTGTTGTTTGATAATTCAAATATAATGTGCATTGTAGTCGTAAAAAGATAGTGAAATATGATGAGATTTGAAGCTGCATCTAATGTGCATTGTTTGGACCTTGATATGTCACTAGACTTTGAACCAACCATTGTACTGACTGCTGAGGTACACTGAAATAACCAATTGTATTCGGGAAAATATGCCGTTCGTAACCATCATGGGACTCAAAAACATTTTTGGTAAAAAAATAGAGGGTACGGTCACTGCAAAGGGTGTTTTCACGCGACTGATAAAGCGTTTCACGGAATCAGTCACAATCAGCTGGTAAAAAAAAACGCGAATGGTCACAGATGAAACTCCCGCCAAAACAAAATGAAACCCAGAAAGAACCTGGATGCATTTTCGGATGATCAACCCTAAACACGTAACTCGCCAGGTGTTTAGGGTTGATCCGTTCCCAAACCGTATCCGATTCCGATTGGGTTTTAGTTTTTTTACAAGTTCGCAGATTGGTTCGGCGCGAGCGGGAATTTTGTTTAGTTTCATGTTTTTTTGGCGGGAGTTACATGTGTGACCATTCGCGTGATTTTTTACCTGTTGTTAGTGACTGAATCCGTGACCCCGCTTACCAAACCCGTCAGAAAACCCGATACAGTGACCGTACGCGTTTTTTTTTTTACCATTCACGTTATCGAGTTCCAAGTTGGTTACTTGTGGCATATTTTCCCATTATATTCATGCCTTTTCATAACGAAGTCCGCCGCGCTGTGTGGTGTGGTTCAGTAGCCCATAGCTGGCAAGCCTCCTAGTCCTACCTATCGCATCACCACAACCGCCAACACAGCCGCTACCGCTGCTGCTGCTTCTGATGTTTCTCCTGCTGCTGCTGCTGCGGCTGCCGTATTCGTAGATGTTGCAGCGATCGTATCGACGATTATGTTCAAGAATGCCGCGAAGAATGCCGCGAAGCATCGTTGGCGTCGGCCTTTTCACACAGCACCGTCGCTCGCGCCCGCTCCATCGGCGCGTTTCTCGCTCGCGGTCCGCGTCGCGCTCCTCCTTGCGCTGCTGCTCTCGTTATACTTCGTCAACAGAGAGACTCTATTTATCGACCTCATTTTCCTTCCCCGAACGCGATTCGCTCCCGTGATCCCGCACCCGAACGCGACTCACGCCATCCTGACCCTCGCGCTCGGCCTATCCTCAATACGGGCCTTCTCGTTTGCGAACAAGCAGTCGTACTGTAACCGGCACGGGATCGAGTGCATCTTCGTTACATCTCCGGCCAGTAACCGTACGCCCGTGTGGCAGAAGGTGGAGCTACTAGCGCAATACCTGCCGCAGTACGATTGGATATGGCTTCTCGATCTAGACGCCTTTATTATGAACAAGACCGTCAGCATCGGCGACATAGTCGCTAAAGCGCAGCGTTCCGCGGAACTGAGTGCGCGACGTGAGCGGAAACTTATTGCGGAGACCGGGCGGAAGCTTCGAGCGCAGGAGGACCCCAGCAGTGACGGGAGAGCCGCGGGGGAAGTCGGCGCGCGCAATGCCGATTCCGCCAGAGCGGAGAGCGCAGCAGCTAATAACACCTTTCCCGCCAACTCTCATTCCGCTAACACCGCTACCGCAGCCGCAGCTAACGCCGCTTTCCCCCAAGTCGACTTTATTTATGCGCGCGATTACGAGGACATGGGCCTGAACGCTGGATCGCTCTTCTTCCGCAGCGCGCCGCGGTTTCTCGAAACCGATTTCTTCCCCCATTGGCTGTCCCTCTCGCGGTCGTTCCACAAACGGCAGCTGGAGGAGCAAGGCGCGCTCGCGGACATGCTCCAACGTGACTATAAAGGGGTGCGGAGCGCCTCGGTGCGCCTAGAGATGCAGGAGATTAACTCGTACTGTCCGCAGCATGGAATTGCGGGGTTTAGATGGCGGCCAGGGGATCTGATCGTGCATTTTCCGGGGCAGTGCAAGAAGCGCCTTGTTCCATTCGTGAGGCGTTATGCCAAGGAAATCCTAAGTTGAAATTCTGCTACCACCACCTGACCACACACACCTATCTCCCTGCTCTGCTGGTGTCTGGATGAAAGTCTAGCAAGCATGGTGGTGACATGACATGACATGACATCTGTACCATAATCCAGACCGGACTCCACATCACAGCGATGCGATCATGCGGTAACTTACTCCTTCTGTGTTATCACCCAGCAGGCCCTGTGTTATGAGTTGTGAAAGGAAGAGTGCGCAGAACTCAATAATGCGGAAGTGATTACAACGTCTGAGAACACAACGAGACCTAGGACTAATATAGCGAAGCTAGCTAGGCCGAGGTGGCGGGGTGGCGAGATGGTTGGGTGCAGGTTCGGGGTTGGGAAACCCGAAAGCGACGCGGTAGTGGCTCGAAAGGCGAGGTCGGCGGACCGAGCCTGGTTTTCCGAAAGTCGGGGTTGTACGCGTACAGTGTGACCCAGTAAGGAATCCGAAAAATTCCTTACACTACCCCCCCCCTTAAAGCCCGCATGCAAAATAGTGACCCCCCCCTTCTAGTTGGGTCCACTAGAAAGCTCATGAAAATTTCCAGAAAGTTTGGTGTTTTTTTCTGAACAGGGCAAGTCCCCAAGTAGTAACAAGACCGATTTGAAGTTGTTTCCGAATTCTGATACGATCAGTCGCAACTTGCACAGAATTGTCGCAAGCTTGCTACCGTCATCGCCCGGATATAAGACATATATGTCTTATCTCATACACTAAAAAAAATGCTTGGGTTATCTTGTATTTGGGGAGGTTTTGGGTGTCTTAGGGTACATTCCTGTGGGGACACTTGTGTCTCAATCCCCGTTTTCCCGAGTCGCGCCTGTAAATTTGCCAAATGTTGTGTCACAAACAACCAATGTATCGCGACCCTGCGCGACAGATGGGCACAGCCAGGTGGGTGCGTACTATTGGTTGCGACCAATAGGATTGTGCCCACCCAGTTTTCCCGCCGGGCAGGGGGGCTAAACATATCGCACCACCTCGAGTATCGCGGTGGGCTTGCCACAGAAATGAAAGTTGCAATTTGGGCCACCCCACACACAACAGCATGTATACAACCACGGCTCCAAGTACAAAAACGCAAGCATCACAGAGCTAAACTGCACCACTGTCTAGCAACCATGGCATCGCCCCGCGAGGTGCCATTCCTCATGCGCCTACTTGTCGCATGGGTTACGTTCTACTACAGCATATTCATGGACGCCATCGCCAAGTCGGTCGGTGGCTTGCTGGAGGCGAACGTCTTCAATGACGAGGTGTCCTCGTCATCCAGCTCTCGCGCCTCCAACCGTACCGCAGAGCGGAAACGAAGGGCTGGGCTACGCCGGCGGAGATACCAGTTGCTGCTAGAGGACCTGGACGGCATGGGGGAGGATCAGTTCAGAGATATGTTTCGCATAAACCGTGGCATTCTCGAATACATTGTCGCCGGGATGACGCACTACATGCAACCGTACGTGGACAGGTACCTAATCAGTCATGAAGTGGCATGCCTTGTACCTATCAAATACCTCGCAAGTGGCATGTCTTTCGTAGACTTGTCCTCCGTGTTCGGGCTGTCCAAGACCCTGTGCCACATGCTTGTTGACGCGCTCCTCATGCATTTCCCGTCCGTCTTCAAGCAGCAGTGGGTCCACTTCCCGACCCGCGACGACCTCGACGAGATGGCCGCAGAGTTCCGCGCCATCAAGGGGGTACCTGCGGTAGTGGGGGCTATAGACGGCACACACATACCCATGAAGGGGATGGAGGGGCACAGGCAAGAGTACTACACGCGGAAGTCCTGTTACGCCGTCCAGTTGCAGATCACATGCGACGTGCGAGGCATCATATGGGACTATTTGATCGGATACCCGGGCAGTGCGCACGATCAGAGAGTGTTCATGAACAGCGCGTTACACGAAAGGTTGTACAACGGCGACATAGCGCCATACCAAATAGTGGGAGACGCTGCCTACCCACTCAGAGACCTCTGCCTGACCCCCCTACATGCTCCCCGTGAAGGCCTAATGGAGGACTGGGAGCAGTGCTTTAACTATTGCCAAAGCGCAACGCGCATGGCAGTAGAGCGCTGCATCGGCGCCTTCAAAGGCCGGTGGCGTCTATTCGCGGGCCGCAATGACTGCAAGCTCTGGCGCATTCTTGCAGGGGCGTCTTGTGGCGTCATCCTGCACAACATGTGCGAAATGATGGGCGCAGTAAGGCGCGTCAATGCATCGTGGGCAAACTTGCCCCGAAACCGGGACCCATGGTGGACTCGTGGCGCGGTAGCAGAGTTCATGTGGGAGCCATGTGACCCATGCACGCAAGAGAATCTTCGTGAAAGGCGCAAGCGGCTGGGCGAGGCTCTGGAGTCGTCTTACCTCACTCGGCGGCGCCGCGGACCCACACCTCCTCACCCGCATCTGGGTTAGAGGGGTCTTCGCCCGCCTGCCCGCGACGAAGCCAGCCGTCGTCGCCGCCTTCGGCGGCGTGCGAGTCGGTCATGTTGTCCGCGTGGGCAGGGATGTCGTCGCGGACATGCGGGGAGGGTGCGGGCTGCTGCACGCGTTCCCGAGCAATACGCGCGTCCTGATCCATCCACGCGCGGACGAGGCCTTCGAGCCTGCTCATGGCGTCTGAGTGGCAGCCTTTGATCGTCTCGCACACCAGCTTTGCAGCGGCCATCGTCGCCGTCTCTGCCACACGTGGGCGCTTCGATGTAGGAGTTCCCTGTGGCGGCGGAGCTGCACACACGGTGGATGCACACGAACAGTAGACGAGGTGTTATGTACCCTAAACATTTTAATGATGTAATGTGTGCGTAAAATGTTGTCACAAAATGTGTCATTCAACAAACCCGCGAGTGCCACCGTTGATGCAACACATACATACCAGTGAATGTCGGCGTAGAGGTGCAGGGCGCCGAAGTGGACGGGACCGCGTACCCGCACAGCACG